CTTTCATATAAAATCCTATTTAATCTCCCTAATAATTTAGTAAAATGGGTGTTTTTAATCCATTTTGTGGATGAAGGAGCTGAAGCTTAGTAACTTACACAAGGACAAAGTAGCAGAATGAGGCAAAACTTGATTTCAAATATCTCTCGATCTGTAGTTGCCTATCTGAGATTGGGTTTATTAAATCAACAAAGCAAAACAAATGAGCATATGAAATGATAAAGACAAAGGAATCAACTGGTATAGACAAATGAATCAGTTACTTATCTATATAATATTATACCTAGCTCTGTAAGTGCAAAATAAGTTTTGTTATAATATGTATTCTGTTCTGTAGTTGTAATATGACAGACCAACAACAACTTCCCAGTAAAAAAAGGTCATAATAATTTAAAAACTGAATATATACTAGATTAGGCCAAAAGTTCCTAAACTTTCTAGGATTTAGGCACCATCAATGGTTTAATTTTTTTACGGCGCCCCTAAGACAAAAGAAATATCCAACTGCTCCATTTTATCAAGTAGTAAGGTCCAAACAACTAAGGTAGTTTATGTAGTGTCTCTGTATCTTCCTTGAAATTTTAAAATATCCTGTGTGCCCCTGTGAATTAGTTACAGCACCCTGGTACCTTAGCACATAGTTTAGGAACTGTAGCACTAGGCATATGCCCATCTATGGGGAAAGACTCTATATCTGTAGCTGTGTGACACATTCAATTTGATACTTTGGGCTAACTATCAAGCCAACTCTTTTACAACTGTTTGTTTTACACTGTATATAGAAAATGAGTTATTTTGATTAGATTTTGCCTTCCTGTAGATTTTTTTATTTCCATATAAAATGTTTTTATGTTGAAAATTTCTAAAGCATCTATTAGAATTACATAACTAGAAATTATACAGCCAAACAGAAAGGAGAGGGGCAGAGGATTGTAGTTATTAGTGAAAAGAGAAGCACTTATGGTCACTTCTGACTGCACAATATGTGCCCTGAAGGAACAGCACTTAAAGAGGGTGTGAGGAAGCTGTGTTATGCAAAGAGAACTGGAAGTTGGTGCTAGAGAAATTGGTAAGGACCAAATTTGTGAGTTTTAACCACCTAATCTCAAAAGTCTCTCAAGTCTAAATGTTAGGCTAAAACCAATATACACATTCAAAAATACTTTGAATTTGGGTAGATTATTTTTTCTATGATAGGTAAACACAAAATGGAGTCTTCCTACCAACAAAAACTGTTTTCCAGGTGTCAGAGGTATGTACGTTTTATTTCAAAAATATCTACTTGATACAAGCTTTGCAGTTCACAGGCTGAAGTCTTTGGTTAAGCGGTTAGGATTCCACTCAGACTTTCCAACAGAGGCAAATGGACTGTGTTGTGTCCTTGGGTTCTTCAAGCATCCAAAGTATACATGAATCAATTCATTTGTACACCCATCTAGTTTATAATTCAGAATTGGAACCTTAGTTACTTATTTTTTCAAATTTATTTCAGGACTATAGTGATTATTTTCTGATTAAAATGAGGTAGTACCTATAAATACAATTTAAAATTGGGATTTTTAATTGTGTAATATAAAATTAGGGTTGTGTTTACATATAGCAACTTAGTTGACAGTTTTTATAGAACTGACAAGTTAAAAATATAGATTATTTAATTTTTTCCCCTGAATAAAATGGTCTCTGAATTGAGCTGGCTGGTTAAACCAGTGTTTTTACATAATAGTTTTCAAGTTATTATATATATTAAAAGCATTCAATTTAGGAATATACCATTATTTTTACCGCTTTAGAAGTTTGAAAGTATCTTTTAGATTTTAAGAAATAAGCAGGAAAAGTAATACTAGATACAGATCCATGAAGTGTGGCTTCATGATTGATTTCTTTAAAAGCAAATACCAAAACAGAATCCAAGATTATGATAAGAATATATCAATATTTGTAAATTTATCTATATATTCATGGATAAGAATATATTACAACATTCTTTAATGCTTCTTTTCTATCTAGCACATTTGCTCTGGCAGTGCTATTCATTTATTTTTATAATGTTTAATGACATGCATTCTAGAAGTTAAGAGAAAGCCCAGCAGCTATATCTGTAGGTCTCCGTTCCACATCTAATTTTACCTATTTCTAATTCTACTATTATATTTCTTAAAAGGAAAATATCTTTATGTCTAACAGAAAGCCTCTTTTTTGGAAAACGGATGTTAGCTAAATGCATAATGGTTAAGTCCCACAACTTTTGTTTTTTTTTAAATTTTTTCTCTGTTGAGAACATTTTAGCTTTTTTGTATAGTTCTTAAGATGTATGTTTTATTTATTTTATCAAGACATGTAGTCTAAACAGAAAAATTTATCATCAATACTTTCTATAAATGGATTGATGAAAAGTACTTGAGTTTTGGAAACCAACAAATAGTATATCTTTCAAATTTCCTCGAAATTCTAATCAAGATGGGTTAGTCAGTCTCTTTCATTGACAGCTATGTAATATTAATCAAATTAAAACAAGTGAGAACACCAGAAAAGTCACATATGGTTGACAATTATGGGGGAATCAAAAAAGAAGACCCAATGGAGAGAGGGGATATTAAGATTTTTTTCCCCCACCTTTATTACTTTCCCGCAATGCAATTAGGAAGGAAATAGTTCATACTATTTTTCACTTCTATACAGCTCCTCAATCAAACCGACTCAAAGTGCCAGGGTATCAACAAGGGTGGCACTTGATTTTGCTACTAGGTTCTTAGTTTTAAAGTTTGGCATGATGCTAGTTGTAAGCTTGCCAGCAGCTGTAGAAACTTTATTCTATTTCCAAGGTTACAAAAGAAGTGGTAGCATTTTATAACTTTAAGCACTGAAGGTATGAATATCAAATGGTTAACATACCAACAATTTTAGAAAAGGAAAAATTTCTGCATGCCACATTACATTCACACTGAACAAACAGAGTATGCCAACTCTGTCAAATGGGAGTGAGGCTGAGGTGTTCTTGACCTTTTCCAGGCCTACAGTTTTGCTATTGTTCATATTCAATGTGGTTTTCTCTTCAGCACAGTATTTGCTAATGGGACTTATTTCTATAGTTGCTTAAAAAATTCCTTTTTGGAAAACAGAACTAGTCTATATGTATATATTTGCAGGTGCAGTCTGAGGCAACTGATGATTTTTAAAAGTGTCTTTTTTTCCATTTTAGTAACCAAGGTTACCAAAAACACATTGGCAACATGTGTTTAATGTGAATAGTAATTACTTAGGAAAATGGAAACAAAACAAGAAAATCTTTTATGATTAAAATCTCAAAATTTGGCATAGCAACAGAATTTAAAATTCTACTTTTAGAATTTAAATTATTCTTAGAATTTAAATATTTGGAATATAAATATAGTTCCTAATTATATTTGGTGTTTCTGGATGAACTGATCTACAAAGATAGAATGATGTGGCAAATAAAACTAAATGAATAAATTAAGGATACAGAGCAAGAGCACCATCTTAAACACAAGAAACCAAAGTCAAGAGAAAGAAGTGCAAAAGCAGTGTGAAAAACACAAAGGGTAAAGTACCAAAAAAGTGTGAATTTTTATCGTCCTGAGTTCAGTTCACTTTTATCTAGACACCATAGTTGCGATGTACTCATCTCAAATGACTTTGTATATTTAACAATTATATCCCAATATCTTCAATATTGTACAGAGAAAGGTTTAAAGACTAAGAATAATGTTAATTGTGAAAATTCAAGACATTTAACAGGAAACTTCCATCGATTTCTATTATTGTTGAATGGAGTTTTACAAATGCAATAAATACTGAAGGATAGTTAAGATGCTAATGGGACAATTTGTTAACATACCAAAAGCTACTGATATTTACAAAACGATACTTTATATAAATATATACTACAAAGTTATTTTACTAATTGTTTTCAGTGGTGTTCTACTTTTATCAATGAAAATAATTCAGTAAAATTGCTTTCTCTATATTCTCTCTATTCATGGTAATGACGTTTTAGAATGTATTTAGCTTAGCAGTCTAGCACCTTTTTGAAATTTGTTACTATTTTTATCTAACAGATTATAGTTGGCATTTTGGCTATTTGACTTTTAGAATATGAAATACCAGATTGTTTTCAAAATCGGCAATGTATAATTTCAATTTTGGTTAAAAAAAAAGTCATAATATCACAGGCTTCTAAAGTTAATAAGCAATATAAACACTTATCTTGGTATAACTCATCACTTAATGCAAAAATGCCCTTGTATTGTTTGTAATGAATGTTCCTTCATTATTCATTCATTCACTCATTCATTCATTCAGCAAATAGTTGAATGTTGTTGAAAGTTTAGATATAATAATGAATAAGACGGAATCAGCACCTGCCCTCAAAGAGCTTTCAATTGAAGTGAAAGAGAAAATATACAGGACCCAAAGGAACCAGGAGAAAGGGACCCACCTAGGGCAGGCAAGCTCTCTATGAGCTGAGTTGAAAGAGGTTCAGAATACCAAAGAGCATGAACACTGACAATGCAAGCTCAGAATCAAGAAAGAATATGGTTTGGTTGAAGAACTAAAGGAAGACTAGTGAGAAGTTAGTCTAAACACAGGGCGGAGACAGATAATGAAAAAACAACTAATTCACATTAGGAAACTTGGGTTTATCTTAAAGAAAAATGGAAAGCTATTGAAAAGCATATTCCTATCTTATCTATGCAAAAAGAAAATGAAACCAAAAATTACATTCATATTTTAAGAATTCACTGGAAACAAGTTATGGAACTGAATTCTAAAGAGCAAATATTGTCTTCAGAAGCATAGAAATAATCTAAGCTCTTTTAAATACCAACATAAATCCTTTTCAACACCTTCTGTGTGTTTCCTTTTTAAAATAAAAATGTTATATGGGTGATCTCATTTCTTGGTGTGGCAGAAATACTAAATTGCCTAATTTAAAGCAATACGCTCCACCCACTCCCAAATGAAAAATCAATGGTACTTACTACATCCAGCCTTATAGCTGAAGCCTGGAGGAAGAAGGAATCCCTGCTGGGCAGCTGCAGCCAATGTTCGTTGATCAGGGGGGAATACGGGAATCATTAATGGTGGCAGTTGAC